GTGCATCAAGAGCATCTCTGAAAGCAGCAAATATCACCCATGAAATTCACAATTGAGAACTCCAAAATTGGATAATTAAAAAGCTCAAACAAAATGAAGTTGTGAAGCAAAATGAAAGAATCCTCACAATGTCCGTGATCAAGGATTAAGCAATACCATTTCAAGCTTATTTCCCCTTCTCAGGGATGCAATGGATGATATTCTTTTTGAATTTTAAGAAACTGAAGACCCTAGGGAAACAAATCTTAGTTGTCCAGCACATGGAACTTGTGATTTCTTGTGACAAAGCAACGTCAAAAATACAATGCTAACAAACAATGAAGCATACCAAAGGCTATCTACTAACATGTAATCCCACGAAATCTTCTGCAACAAAAGACTCTGTATTTGCAACAGATGATAACAGAAAAGTTAATCCCAGGGAGGCAGAAGGCTTGAAAACTTTGAACTTGGAAGGTGGCAATTTTGGATAGCTTTGAGTTGAGTGAAGCAGTTGCTGAGTGTGCAGGTGAAGTGGGACAATTCATTGAACAGTTCCAAGTGATTCATAAATCAGTTTGTTGTCATTTTAAATGTTCGAATTGACAATGATGGTGTACAAGACAATGTTAAGCACGCAAGTTTGGATAACCCTGGTGTATTGAGCGACTTCAAAACTTAGGATTACTTCAAAAGGCCATCAAGTGGCAACTCTACATGAAAGATGAGAGACATTATGTTAATGGATGAGGAAAGGCCTGTTGATCCACATCTAGGAGGAGTATTCACAGTTGCCACAAACAGGCAACTCCATCCCGGGTCACTAACAAATTAATGCTTTGACCAACAATTATGTGTTCCACTTGTGTATGAATATGGCGGCTTGTAATGAGAAGCCATGGAAGTGGAAGATGAGTGTAAAGCATAGAAAGAGATGGGAAATATAAAAGGAGATAGATGGACTTGAAAGGCCAATATTAGGCCAATGGTACTCAAACATTCCTTGCTTTCGTGTAGAAGTCTTCTTTTACCTCTAAAACTACACTCATCAAGAAGCAGAAAACTAATTCACTTGTTTTTTTTGCTCTAACAAAATCCTAAATTGAGACAAGAAGTAGAGATTTACAGATGGGGCATAGAAGCTCAACTGCACAAGCTAATATTGGAGATGAAAAGGCTGCAGTATGACACAATATGATCCTCAATCTTAAGCATCTATGGCATACTGCAACAATGCCAGCAGACGTCAAGAGCTACTCGGTCAGCAGGATTTCCTCCAGACGGATGTAGACAAGGAAAACAATGGTAAATTAATGCACCACTCTTCTTGTTTTGCAGATATATTGGACTGAAATTCAGTAATGCATCAAACAAACGCTAGAGATTGCTCAACAACAGAATGAAGAATGAAGACCATCCATAAACTACACCAATAAATACTTAAACTCCACTAGCTTTTTGACGAAGCAGCTCTCCCATAAAAATTAAAAAATATATATTTTTTGTGTTCAACCCGCTTGGAATCAAATTCAAAGCTTAGGCACCTAAACAACAATAACAAAGATAGCAAAAATAAAAATTCTTCTTCAAATTCAGGTGGATGAAAGCTTCTTTTTAAGCAATATCTTACAGAATAACGCAACATCTCCAAAAACATACATCACAAAATCACTAAGAACGTTAACAGTTTAATCCAACCAGCTAAACAGAATAAAATGATAACCCAGAAGCAGAAAGCTTCCAAGATACCATCTTTAACAAAAAAAAAAAGCCAGGGAAGAAAATTTTGCTTACCCTTCGGTGTAGTCAGCCTGAAGAAGGTCAAGATAAGTGTCCCATTTATTCCCTATCACCTTAATTAGACCCAAAAGAAAAACCCACAAAAAAATTAATCCAAATTCAAGATTCAAGGGCTTTCGATAATAAACAACAATCAAGCATCTTTGGCATTTGAGAGAATAAATTACCTTTCCACAGGTGAAGCAACGCACTGGAATGATCATCTTTTCTAGTCCTCAAGGGAAAGGGATGGAAGGTTTTGGAAGAAGAAAATCTGTGGGGTTGATGGTATATTTATATTTGGACCATCAACGTGGGCTTGAAACCCTTGTTGGGCTATGCTACAAAATTATTAATCCACATGTAATAACAACTCTAGGCTTAGCAAACTATACTGGTAGATTTTTATTGCCTATTGGGCCCGTTGGCTCCATTTCAACACTAGTATAATTGGGTTGATGATTTAGGTATTATTTGAAATATTATTTGGAATAATTACTGTAGCACTTTTTGTGATGTGATATATGTGAGATAAAAAAGGTGATTGAAAATATAAAAAAGTAGGTTAGAAAATGTGTTTATGATACAAGCGAAATATTATTTGGGATAATTTCACTATCCAAATAAACCCTTATTAGTCAAAGTTTTCAATTTTTTGTTTTCTTTTCAAAAGTGTGATAGTATTTGTTCTGCTTCCATTATTGGGTGGTTGTTTTTTGTTTTCTTTTTGGTGTGTGTTTTCGGGAAAATTTTAGTGTAATAGCTTCTTGGTAAATGTGTCTGTGAGATAATTAATAAGTTTTCGTCTATTTGTGTTTGTCAAGTTTAACTTGATAGTTTAAAACTTAAACACTATAATGTATGCAATTCAGGTTCATGATAATGCTAAAGTGGACACACACTCTTTCTCTCAATCTCTTTGTTTTGTTTCTGTTTTTGTTTTTGTGTGCTAAACCTGTGCCAATAATAGAAAAAACTCAGAGACCATTCTAAGATTATTATGAAAAATAATGGGCCTGTTTGGAACCTTAGTTTTTTGCCAAGTTTGTATGATATTAGTTTTTTAACAACTTTTGTTACAAGGAACCCCAAAAATTTATCAAAGTTTTAACCTACACACTTTAAAATATCCAAAACACAAAAACCCAAAATTCCCTTCCCCTTTTCTTCTTCTTCCTCCCCCACCCAACCGCCCACCACCTCCGCCGCGGTTCCGGGCCGATCACCTCTTCCGGTGCCGATTTTTCTTTTTTTTTCCCTTTCTCCCTCTCCCCCTCTTCCTCCCCTACCATCCTCCCCCTTTGCCCGATTTTGATCCTCTCTCTTTTTTTTCTCCCTCCCCCACTCCCCCCACCACCCTTCCCTTCCCCTCTGGCCGGTCGCCAGACCAGATCACATCGAGGGAGGGTGAGGTGGTGGGGAAGGGAGTAGAGGGGGAGAAAGAAAATTGCAAAAAAAAAAAAATTTCAGGTGCCGGCAGATTGAGCAGCGGCGGCGCAGAGGAAGGGGGATGGGAGAGGGGAGGAGAGGGGTGGCGGGGGAGGGAGAAGAGGGGTGATAGGCAGAGGGGTGGCGGGGGAGAAGAGGAAATGGGTGGCGGGGAGCAGGGGCAGAGGGGCGGGCGCAGAGGGGGTGCCGGGGGAGGGAGAAGAGGGGTGGTGGGGGAGGCAGAGGGGGTGGCAGGCAGAGGGGGTGCCGGGGAAGAGGGGAGGAAATGGGTGGCGGCGGGGAAGGAAGGGGAAGGGGAGAGGAGAAAGAGGTGGTGGGGAGGGAGAGGGAGGAGTGGCGGGCATGAGAGGGGGAGAAAAAAAAAGCAAAAAAAAAAAAAAGTTGCAGAAAAACCCAAACCTACATTGGCAGTGATCTGAAGAGGGAATAGGGGAGGGGGAAGGGGAAGGGAGAAGAAGCGGGATGGGAGGAAGGAAAAGAAAAAAGAAAGAAAAAAAGAAAGAAAAAGAAAAAGAAAGAAAGAAAAGGAAAAGGAAAAAAGTTTTTCATCACATAAAAAGTTTTTCTACAACTTCTAAAAAAAGTTTTTTCATCTTACAAAGTTTTTCTACAACTTCTACAGTCATCTATAGTAAAATTTTATACAAACACCCAAAAAACTCACCTTCCAAACAGGTTCAATAGTAAAGAAAAAGGTTCCAAAAAGGGTTTGATGTCCTGTACCAATAAGGGAGGTGTCCGTATCTATGCAAATTTCGCATTTTGCAGATGCGAGCCTAAGAGTTTTTCTTTAAGAATTCGTTCACACATATCAACAACTTAGAGTTTATATTTATCTCATTATTGATAATATTCATCCTTCGTAAAACTTTTTTCCTTTCTCTTGTTGTCAAGGAGTAAATCATGATGATTTCCTTCTCTATTTTTAGCTCTTGTTTCTCAATAATTCTATAAAATGAAGAAGTAAAAACAAAAACAATCAAGCGTAATGTTTTCACAAAAATAAAATAGAAAAAAAGGCAAGAGCCTGCATTCACATTTTTTGCTTTTATAAAGAATTGTACATGAATGCAGTATGGACTCTACATATAGGACCTCTAGGTGGACTAGTTTCTTTTTTCCTATTAGAAGTTGACATCGCATTTGACATCGCATTTAGCAAATGCAATGTCTCACGAGCTCGCACTTCATAAATGTTAAGACCACTTTGAAGGAAATCAACACTAAAACTAACGTATTGCAGAACGCTTCTAAAATCCATAATAATGTTGGAAATTTCTCAAAACTCATCCTTTGCTTTTGCTTCAGGAAATAGGAAAGGATCCCTTCCACATTATTTATACAAGTCTAAAGCAAATTTTGTTAATTTATGACTAATGGAGTTGCATTTCTCTCCAACTCTTATATAAGAAGGATAAATTGTGTTATTTTACATCAAAGTCTATAATAATACATCAATTGTGACAATCAAACCAACACAAACACGCCTGCCCCATGCCCTTGAATACCATAGCTTACAAATACCATGTCAAATGAGCATGAAATTATGAAAACCAACTCTCAAATACTTGTATTTTTTGTTTCGCTCACGAAATTCGTGACAAATATTTCACCTCTTATCTAAGCACAGCTCTAAAAAATGCCTAAAATAAATAGAGGAACCACAAAATTGTCTACACTAGATAGATATATATGTTCCTCTACATGTAAAACTAAGAGAAAAAGTACCCCCAAAAAAAAAAAAATCTCTAGGGACTCCTAGCATCTCTTATTTGGAGCAAAATGTGGTAGCATTAGATTCTCTTGTATTCCAAAATTCCAGAATTTGCCTTTAGATGAAACCAAGTTGTTCTCACACAGAAATTCCATGAAAACCACTTCTCAATCATCCGATCTATATCATGTACCACTACATTTGTCACATTTCCATGATTTTCTCTTGCTAATAAACTAGCAGTGTAGATTGAAGCCATTCTACCAGGACACAGAGGTCTATGACCGCATGGTCCATCCACCAACACCACATCCCACTTCAATTCATATGTTACTTTGGGAAGGTTCTTTAGCGCCAATTTGCACTTTGTTTGTTTAAGCAGACCAGATGAAGGAGAACATTTTTTGCTTTTTCTTGCATGCTTCAGCAGTTTGTAGGCATCTTTGGCTAGCGTCGGATACTTGAGTTTGTACACTAAAGTGTTGTTGGCAGTGGTAATTGTGCTCAGCTTCTCTGGATCATCCTCAAGAAAGATTGTCATCCCACCTGTATTGGTAGATGCAAGGACAGAATATTGATGCTCCAGGCCGAAGACAAGAAGATTGCAGGGGGATTTGTGAGAAATGAGATTTAAGAGAAATCCCATTTCCTTTTCGGTTAGATTGTTTGAATTGGCATGTGAAATGGAATGGTTTTTTGAGGGTTCTTGACCTCGTGCATTGTATGAAACATTCTTCAGGTGTACAGGAGATAAAGAAAGAGGCGGCCGGGTTGTTGATGAAGTAACTATGGTTATCTTGAGAAGTCTGAACACTGAGGCACATAACAAGATACAAACAAGAAGAGGGATGAGTTTCTTTTGTTAAGAAGACTCATTTTCCCCTCTCCTTTATAAAATTTGTGGTGCAGCTGAGATTTTCTGAGCTGCCGCGATTTCGTAGAGATGGGAGAAAGTAATGGAGTTTGAGGAGAGTAAGGAGATACCTCTGGGGGCATTTTGCTCTTTCATGAAAATGTTGCCAAAGCTACTTGCTATCACTTCATATTTGAAGTATGGTAGAGGATTGTTTTTCTAGATAGTGTGAAAATATCTTGAGTGATGAGAAAGGGAGGTGGATTTGCTTATGGTTGAAGCATTGCTTTATTTTGCTGACTTTTCGACTCATGAAGCAATGATCTGCTCAAATAGTTGCATGCTTTCAATGAAGAAAAAGTGAACGTTTGGTGCCTCGATCATTGTTTGATGCATCAATGGATTCTCATGCATTTTTGGTTTGCAATCTTGATTTGGTGGAGAAGTGAAAATGAAGAAGGCTTAGGAGTTAGATGCAGTGTGCCTTTCTTGGTGCATTGTCATGAATTCTGAGGTAGGGGAAGTGACAAAAAAAGTGTCTTTTTCAGCTGTAAATTCAAAGGATGATTGAATTCTAGAGTGATTCGATCAGATTTAGTTTTCAACTGACTGAATAATTTCTTGGAAGAGGACAGCAGAATAATTAAGTATTATTGTTATTCTCAGTGCTTTTAACCAACAATTCATCTTCTTTTCCATTGTATGATCATTGAAGAATTAAGCACTTTAGTTAAGGTCTAATTGCATGTCACCCTCTAATGATTACGTTCATTGCTTTATTAAGAACATGCATCAAACTGGCATGGGCTCGACTTTTTCTTTTTCTTCCTTCTTATTCTCTTATTCTTCTTGTTGGAGAGGGAAACAACCTTTTAAGCCAGTGTTTTGAAATTTGGGTCGGCAGTGACTCGGCCGAGATGATGAGTCATGTATAAGGTCAATGAATTTGATAGGAAAAATTGGATTAAAAAAACATTAATGTTTTCTCAAAATATATTTGTTTGACAAATATTAATGTTTTCTTAAAAAAAGAAAAATCTCCATCTCAATTAACCTTGCCAATTCTATTACTTATTTATACTATTGCTTAATCTATAACTTGAACATGTTATACTCACTTTAAAAGGTTACTAAAAGCTACACTTGATTAATGCCTAATAAAGGATTAATTCTTTAGAATTTTCACTATGCATCCTTTTCAAAATTTTTCTTAAAAAATCATGTATAATAATACATCTTGATGTGAAATAGCTGAAAATCAAGATGTTAAATCCGACATTGAAATGACGTAAATCAAAAGAAACTTTTAGATTTGAGACAATTTTAGAATAAATAAATCAAAATCAAGATTTTTTAAAAAAATTGTTGAGAACATGTAAAAAGGAAGATATTTACAATTTTGAGACAATCTCAAAATATAGTTTTACGTACAAAACGTGCATTTTTACACAATATTACTAGTCATTATAAAATGAACTGCTATTTGCATTTGCAAGGGAAACAAATAATCATGATTAAATAAATTTCTGTTTGAACTCTTCTCTCCCTTCCTCTTACTCTGTCAACTTTAGGGCAATTTATTAAGGGTATATTCTCTTTTGTATTCTTCAATTATACCCTAATTCTCACTTTAATTCTTAAACTAAAATTTATAACCCTTTACTTCCTAAAATCTTACTATCTGTCAACGGAATATTATAGTTTTGCTCTCGCAATTTGACAGTTACAAGGCAGGAAGTAGCGTAATTTATGACAATTAACAATGAGTATAGACCATAAACTTGTCACATACCAGTCCTGTATCAAACTGTAATAATCTTAAATGGCTCTATGAACATTGAATTTTGTCAATTAAATAGTATAGACCATAAACTAGTCACAACATACTAATCCCATTTTCCTGCAAATCAATAATGTCATCCTGCTGTTTTTTCAGTTGTTCTAGCCGAAAATTTTCCCTTTGACCAAGTCTATTTAGCCTCATCTCCCATTGCATTCTTCTATATTACATTTTTTTAGCTCCTTGAAAATTGTCCCTAGCCCATTCATCATAACTCACAATCTCCAACGGTGTAATTAAAACCATGGGCTCCTTAGGTCATTTATACTACAGTATTCACTCTCAAATGAAAATTTACTTATGGAAGACCTGAAAGGAAAGGGATATATCATATATACATAGACTTATTTCTAGGGTCTTAGTGTTTAGGGAAGGATTCTTAGAGTTCTCCTCACTGCTAAATTCAAGATTTGAATTCTGTACTTGATAGTTAGGGATAGAAAGGGCATAGGGAGGGTAAAAAAAATAAAAAAATAAAAATAAAAATAACATTTATGAATTAGCTAAATTGTTAAAGGTAACTTAATTCTGTCCAAAAACATTGGATAGTTTTTTACCAGGCAGGATTTCACCCTTTGATATTGTGAATTCCTGACTAGAAAAGTAGAAAACTATTAATACACTTATAAATTAGGAGCTCAACTCGTGGCAATTTTGGGGAAAAAAAAAAGGAAAACCATTTTATTTTGATTTGCTTGATTTTATTTTCGACTTAATTATTGAAGGCCCTGATCAGCCTACCCTATCAAGCCAATCTATACCAAAGCCTAACCAATTTCGTCCCAGCTTCTCTTGATCTTGATATATATGGTCTAGAATCATGGGAGTTATATTCAAGTGTTGTTAACATTTTTTGTGACTATAATGACAATATTAAAATCCATGGGTCATTTTCTGTCTGCGAAGACCTTAATCAGCTGTTACAAGAATTTTATACTCAAGTTAGTTCTTCTTGTGGACATATGTGAGGAGCATATTCTCTTCCCTATCTCATTCTCACTACTTAAACACAAATTCATTGATTATATCGATACTAATTAAAAATGAAGGGGATCCAATAACAGCAAAATATCTACAGGGTTATATGATTGTGAATATAGTGTTAATAAATAGCAACTATATTCTCTAATTTAGTCTCATCAATTATCTTCTGACTAAAATGACACGGGAAACTCTGTGATTGAACCAGTATGAAGCCAAATAAGCTAATGCTGCAAATCAATGACATATAATGGACAAGAAGAATTCAATTCTGCTGTACTTTGTGATTTTTTTTTTAAACAAACCTTGTTTAATAAGCTAACATTATGAATTAGATTAATCTTTTTACACTAATAGTAATGTATAGTATTAGCGTTGGATGAATAATAATTATGTAAAATTTGAATTTAAAATTCAACTTTTGCATATATATCATAGATTTGTCGGTGATAGTGTACACAATGTCAGTATATATAAAATTTATTCTTATGAATTGTTTACATTTTACTGTATTGTTTAATGCAGGATTCTATATATTTTCTAGAATTCCAAATGATTCATCTAGATATGCATATATTCACCTTGCAACAATTTCTTCTCGGATTCCAGTTTGTCAATCAAACGTCGTAGAGATTATCAAAACATATGCATATATTTTCTAGATATATGAAATGTTTACATTTTACTGTATTGTTTAATGCAGGATTCTTATATATTTTCTAGAATCCCAAAAGATTCATCTTGATATGCATATATTCACCTTGCAACAATTTTTTCTCGGATTCCAGTTTGTCAATCAAACATCGTAGAGACTATCAAAACAATATCAAATCTTCTGAATTTCATAAGTCATTATCCTAGTTAGTAAGTACTTGTATTATATCCGTCTAATGTACATTCATATGTATAATTTAAAAAACTTCTGTATTTTATATATTTCAAAAATATTTTGAAAATACTTGTACTCTTCACGTAAATTTATAAAACACATAATATATTTTTGGCTATCCTACTTCCTGAATTACGCTTTACATTTTGGAGAAAATTTAAAATTTGTATTTTAATAATGACATATCTTGATACTTATATATAAGATAGCATCTATTTATATCCTAATTTCAGTAGAATTATAGATGTAAACGTATTAATGTGATAAAGTTTTAATCAATGTGATGTTTGATACACAAGAATAAACGTTAAAAATGGTATTCATGTAGCATTACCTTTGAAAATTATAATAAATTTACTCTTATTTCCAATTCTGTAACTTTCAAATATATTCATACTATTCACTTATAAATTTATATGTATAATTTTGTCAAACTCGTATTTTTGAGCCAAACTTTAAATTGTACTTTTGAAAAAAGTTCTATATGATCTAAGTAAATATTATATTTCATATTATACATGTCCTGATTTTTACTAAGTATGGTCATTACATGTTAATTTTAAGTATAATGATTTGATAGCCCATTTGATACACATAGTCATTATATGTTGGACTAAATGCGTGACAATTAATTTTAATTTGAGTTTAACATCTAAATTTTGCATATATGACAAGCATCAAACATCAACAGTGTATAAACTATCAATATATAGAAGATTAATTCTATAAAATAACTTAAATGAGAAAGCCAATTTCTTTATTTACTTGAAATTTATTATGTGCAACAGCTGCACCTTCACCACATTAATTACTGCAAGGAATCAACTCTGACTAGGGCTAATGCTGGACCAAGTAGCTTGATTCGAGCTCACAAGCTACTCGGTCCGCAGCTTGGCTCGAGCTCGTTTTGACCGAGCTCGAGCTGCTTGATAGAAGTAGCGAGTCGAGCTCGAGCTTCAATATTTGGCACTCGAAGGCTCGACGAGTCTAATCAAGTTTTTTATAATATGTATTTTAATTTTTATTATTGTGAAATCTCAATAATATCCTTTATTCAAAATTATATGTAAAATATTAATTTTTATTGATTGAGCTCGAATAGGCTTGATTGAGCTCGAATAGGCTTGATTGAACTTGATTTGAATTGATTATATTTAATTAAACTCGATCTTGAGCAACGTAAATTGACGTCGAGTTCGAGCTTGAGCTCAAATTCTAAAAGTTCGACGAGCTCGAGCTCGATCTTGAATTTAGTTATTTTACCTCGAGTTGAATTCGAGTAGTGCACTCGAGCTCAAATTCTAAAAGTTCGACGAGCTCGAGCTTGATCTCGAGCTTAGTTATTTTACCTCGAATCGAGCTCGAGTAGTTCGAACGCACCCTAACTCTGACAAACCACCAGATGGTTGATTATGTTCATAATTTCCTCAATTTTAGATACTTCCCCTAAATGTAGAGGAGGTCAAGCATCAGCTAGTTCTTACAGATTGACTCTATGCACATTAATCATTTTCACTAAATATGCTTCCAAAACATTTCTTTTTCTTCATAATCTTATGCACATGGAGTCTCTATTAGGGTGCAATCGAGTTGAGTTGAGGTCAAACAATATATTACTCAAGCTCGACTCAAGTTAAAAAACTTCCGCTCAAACTCAACCTTGCGGTCATTGGGCTCTTGAAAGTCAAGTTTGAATTCGAGTTTAAACTCGATTTTGTTTTACCTTACTCAAGCTCGAGCTCATGCTAGTGCAAATCAAACCCAATCAAGCTTAATTCGAACTCAATCGAGTTTAATCGGGCCTAATTGAGTTTAAAAAATCTATATTTATATTTTGTATAATTTTAAACAAGGGACAAAATAGACATTTCATACTAATAAATAATTTTTTTAAAAAAATATATAAGTGAAACTCGATTGAGTCCGATTAAAGTCAATGACTTTTGAACTTCACACATTAGATTCGAGTTGGAATTCATTAAGCAGCTTGAACTCGTACTCAAACTTGGTCAATACGAGTTCAAATTCGAGTTTTGATTGAGTAAACTCGTGAGCTACTTGACTGAGTTCGACTCATTTGCATCTCTACTCTCCAATTGAACAAAAAAGTAAATAAATAAATAAACAAGTATTCAGATTACCACAGATATCAAACTGTGCGTCACTGCCTAATCATCAGAAACCACTGCTGCTAATTAATTAATAATTAAATAGCTAAGTAATTACTAATGTAGAAGAGTTCTACAGATGTTTGAAACAGCTAGCTGCTAGTTAGTTGGCTATGACTTCATTAGAAGAACTAATCAAGAGGTTACCCATCTCAACTTCATCCAACAACGATTTCCCCTTTAGTCGCTTTCCATTCGAGGTTTTTTATGTATATTTGTCCACTCAAATATACATATTAAATAATTTGCCACCAAGCAACCGACAGGGTCATGATTATGTTATTCCGTTAATCCATCTAATCTGATTGGTCGAGGCAACAATATAGACCATACTATAAATAATGGTGAGTAGGATTATAATTACTACTTAGGATTTTCTCAATATTTAACTTTTGGCCTTTCATCTATTTCAAATTGGCTCCTCAACAAGTGAAAGCGTCAATTTTGATCTTTCAATCTATCTACATCGTTAAAGCTAATGGATCTATATTCTAATACAAAATTTCATGAATCTAAGTGTGAAAATTGACTGAAGGATCAAAAGTTAATAGTTTTTATTGTTGAGGAGTTAATTTGAGATTTGAAATAGATGAGGTGCCAAATCTTGACCATTGGAATAGTTTAGCGGTTCTCCAGGTAGTTTACCCTTATATTTCACTAATTATAACGAAAATAACGACTTTTTTCCTTTCTTTTTTGTTATTAGGAGAGGATTGGGGAGCCAAATTTCTCAGCTTAGCGTTTTCAGACATGATGAAGCATTTTTAATAATGTGCAAAAATTTTCAATTTTCAACTTTTCAGCCAAGTAATATGCTAAATGGACATAAAGATTAATCTGTTGCTTAGTTTAGAATAATTCAAATGGATGGAACTGTGGAATAATCAAGTTTTGGTGAGCTGCCTTATTTATTCTTCAACAGAAATGCTCTTCATTCTATTACAAGTCTCTAATACTACTTTTTTAAGTCACTTGCAAAAACTGTCATGGTGAGCTACAATATGAGTGCTCAAACAAAACCAGTCCTTCTATTGAAAGTCCCTGCAAGTCAATTTCAGGTAGTATTCTAATTCATAGAAGCCAAATACTAAAAACTTTGTTAAATTTTAAAAAAATAAATGTAAAGAAAAAAACCCTTATTTATATTCCCACTTCACCCCCAAAGCTGCCAAGGTTTGTTTCATTTTTAGATTGTTTGGAGACCATCAAGAATAAACTAGTATTTTAGTGAAGTTTGGCCAAGTCCAAGCTAGTTTCTACCTCTGTTTCTTCTGGGAAACTTCCTATATAATTGAATATTTGATTTCGCCCTCAATCAGGCTTATAACATGGAGCAGGACAACAGTCACCAAACCATTACAATATCCTTATTGTTTCACTCATCTTCCGATTTTGGCCTAGGCTTAGATCAGGTCATCAGACACATTGACTTTGTTGGCTTCAGTTTTCAGTTACTTGATCTCAGACTATTTCCACATTGAACTCTAGCTATAGCTGATGGTTTCTGTTCAAAGAAATACGAACTTTTCCATCTGTTTACGGTAGATATGAAGTTATCATCAACTGAGGAAACAATCATGGGGAGGACCAATGATGACAAAAGAGCTGTACCAGTGGGAAGAAAGGTATGATCAACTTAACTCAAAAGCTAATGATTTATGTTGTAAGTCATAACACATATGTATAACTGTTTCTCGGAAAATGCTCAAATGTCTGATATTTTGACTTCAACAAAATGGTCAGGGGACAAAGGAAGATGATCTGAGAAAATCTTTATTCAAATCTGTCGCGAGATCACCTGTTGAAGATGGAAGACCAAGAAGTATGATTATTAGGGTAAGCTGGAAAAATAGTTGATGCTTTATGAATCAGTAATTTTAGCTAAAATTGAGTTTCTGATGCACATTTGGCATTATACAGAAAAAGAACACAGTCATTCCGGCTCATATAGTAGCAGAAGCAATATCTACACTTCATGGTCTCGATCTACGATGGTCAGGGCCAATTACACCGGCTGAAATGCAATATGTTGAGCAATATGTCCTAGCCAAGTATCCCGAGTATTCGAGTGCGCTGGTGGAAGGTGGAGACAAGACGGATTTATATGATCTTTGCATCAAGGGAGAGTTCTCAGAGCTCTCACCTGATGACAAGAGAAAGTCACCTAGGACAAGTGTGGGATCCAGAGAACCATCTACACCCTCTTTTGGCAGCAATCTTCCTGATATGGACAAAATCCAATTGGAGCCATCAAGATTACTTGATATCTTAACCAAGAAATCATCTTTCTTAGGGAGCTTCATCTCAATCCCTGAAATTCAAGCGCGGAATAAAGTTCTAAACCACTGTGGATTACCTGAAGAGGACTATCTGGTTCTTTTCACCCAACAGTACAAAGATGCCATGATGTTGGTTGGAGAGAGCTATCCATTTTTCAGGGGAAACTTCTATTTAAGCATTATTGGCGAAGAATCAGATTATGTAAGGGAATTTGCAATGTTTAAGGAATCAAAAGTCATCCTAGCACCAGAGTCCTGGCTGGATTTGAGGATTAAGGGATCACAACTCAGCCAGTATTTCAGAAGAAAATGCAAGCACAGCCCGAAGGGGCTGTTTTCTTATCCAGCTGAGGTCAATGGGATGCGATACTCAATGCACTGGGTTTCTGAAGCTCACCGGAACTCATGGCATGTTCTGCTTGATGCGACAGCCCTCGTGGTAGGACAAGACAAGCTAAATCTTGCACTTCACAGGCCTGATTTTGTTCTTTGCAGCCTTGAGAATGGTCATGCCAACCCTTCAAAAATCACCTGCCTGCTTGTCAGGAGAAAATCGTTTGATGTGTCCATAGCTCCAGCTCAAGCATTCAAATAATAGTATTTGCTAGAACAGAAGAACCGTTAAAAAAGTTGCGCAATGCTGTAACATATTTACTTCAAGACAAACTTTTCCTGTTTATATATGCTTAACTAATCTGTCGAGCTTACAAGAAAAATCTTCAAATTCAGCATCCATGGTACACAACAGTTACCAGAAATTGTTGGCTTATTTTCATAACTAAATGTTATGAAATTTCTCGTGTAATTGTCAAGGAAACCACAAGATGGAAAAGGGAGAAATGCAGAAGAATTCTAAAATGACTGACTTTTCTGTTCTGCTAACCCCTTTGTTTGCCTCTATTGTTTGATCAGGGATCAACTGAATTTCCCAATGTCGCAACTAAAGCTAGTTAAGATGAAATTTGGAGTACTTTTCAATAATTTTCGTCAATTATTGCTAAGAACTTATAAATAAAGTTTTATTCAAGCTTAAGCTACATAAGTTTAATTAGTTTCAAAACTAGGATTTTCATTTTGATTTCTTACCTTCTATACATATATACTAATTTACTTCAAATAAAAGGTGAGGAGTGCTTGACCAGTGGAATAATATTTCATTTTTTATGTTTCTTATTTTTATGTAGTAGTTCTTTTTCATTCTAAGAACAAGAGGTGGTGAAGATGGAAATTCTCAATTAACAGTAAAGTATTTAGGAACAGTCTGCAGTTGTTAGAGAGTTACTTAACTACAAGAGTATTGCAGCACATTTCCAACCTCACAGATCAAGATACCTTCTCAAATTGTTGAAAAATAGGAATTCAATCCCTTTTGGTAAAAACAAATCCTTCGCCTGGGGAAATGCTAATCAAGTTTCTTGAATCCTTCATGAACGCTTCTCTTGTTTGTTGTGGGATAAGCCAACTGAGGATTGACTGCGGTTGAGTGATAATAAACAGGAAAAGTTATTGAACGACGAACCCATTTATCTAGATGCATCATGCTGAATTCTAAAGCATAATTGATTCTATAAATTCATGACCACAATATTTTTCCATGCTCCTCTATGAAGGCAGTCATGTAAGTAAGACAAGCACTCTCATTCAACATGCTACCAACAGGCTACTGCGGAAGTTAAAGAATGTAAATTCTGACATACCAGCTATTAGAAGTTTATGACTGCTAAAATGCTAAAACTACAAACCTACAAGCAGAAAAAGGACAAGATCATGAGAAGAAAAGAAAGCTCCAGAATAGAGTAAATAATAACTTTGTTCTGTTCTTCAATTATATGTCAAGCCGTAACAGAAAAAGAATTCACGTCAGAACCTGAGGCCACAGCAGACAACTATTGCTAGCAAATGACCATCTGGATAGATCTACATCAGGCATGCAGTGATTTCACAATGTTGAAAGCCATATCTTTAAACATGTAAGATATATATATTCAAAAACGATGTCTTTGTCTCATTTGTTAGATTAGAGTTCAACTAAATTTCCCATTATAGCAATTAAGAATTAGAAAGATAAAAGCAGCTAAGAAATGAGATTAATTTTTTTCAACCTTCCAAGATCTAGGAATTTCATTTTGGCTTCTTACTTTCTGTAGAGTATTCTTTTCTTTTCTCGATATAAAAGGTAAGGAATTCTTTGTCAGAGCATGACTATTCCCTTTTTTGATGTTTCTCGTATTCATACTGTAGTTCTCTTTTATTGTCAGAAAGAGGGGTGGTGAATATGGACATGCTGATCTGAGCACATGAGAATACGTTAAGGAACAGTGCAGAGTTAAGGTGCAAAGCTTTGTAACTACAAGGTATTGTCGCAGATTACCATCCTGACTGATCAAACTGTTGGAGTCTAGGAAATCCTCGTCTAAAACCAATTCCTTCATCTATCTTGCTTGTTGCATCCTTCAAGATTGTTTCCCTTGTTAGTTGAGGGCTAAGCCAAATGATCATTGACTGAAGAAAATTAGGAGGAATGGTTATTGAAGGGTGAACACTGATTAGCCTAAGATGCATCTTACTGGATTCCGAAGTATAATATTTGTATAAAACAGCACAAGGATACCTTGTTTCATACTTACTTGTCAAGGCTCAAGGCAATCATATAAGAACAGGACCGTATTTAACACGCTATTGACAAGAAGAAAAGAGAGCTCCAGAGTACAGAAAATTACAAGCTTATATATATGGTTGTACAATACTATGTTGATCCATAAAAGAAAAAGAAAGCATGCTAGCAAAGGACCATCTGAATAGTTCCACATCAGCCATGCTGTATGTTTGATGAAATAGGACACCTTAGAACATGTAAATATGTAGATATTCAAAAACAATAATGTCTAAAATAAAAAAAAAGATGATAATTCTTGGATTCCACATGATCGTTTCTCTTGTCTGTAGAGGGCTAAACGCAAATGAAGAACAGGGAGAAATTTCCTTACCTATGCCGTACCTGTTTGATAACCTAATTCAGCACTTAAATTTAATGGATTTCTTAATATATTCAGACCATTTGATAATAAAAAATTGAGCATCTGAATTAATTAACTGGCATTGAATTTCCTAGACAAAACTTGCTCTCAAAATTAAGTGATAAGCTGTTTATTTATCATTGAATATGATATGTATTCAAATGTATTAGATTTAATACTTAACAATTCAATAAATTAATAGATATAGACTTCATATTTCAGTTTTCAGACTTCAGTTTTATCAAACACACAATGTCTCTTCCAAATGAGGAGAAAATGCTTATATATGAAGTCATCAGCACACTAACAGCAACACTTTGATCAAGATGTTATTTTGGAAGTCAAAAATCAAAATGAAGAACATCACTCATTAGCCAGCTCAGAAGCTTTCAGTTAAAATAACATCTTAACACATCATAAGAAGAAGAAAAGAGACAGTGCCAACATACAGCAAGAAACGACACTTTTCACAAGTAGAATAATATGTTCACAGTAAGCAGAAAGCATAATTTTGCTCCTCTTCTGGGATCTCATTTATAGAAAACTGTCAATTGCTAAAAATAGATGGTCAGCAGCTCGCGAGACAACTCAATGCTTTCATTGTAATGTCAACAAAAAGCCACATGCGCTGCTGAACCTGTGACACTTGCATGAATCCTAATGTGGTATGCACACAACAATTACAAAACTGCACACAGCTGATAATTTAAGTGGCGTATACTCCAGTTGAAGAGTAGGAGTAATGCAACTATTGCGTTGGCCTTGCGTTAGGATTGCAATTGACGACCCCCACTCAGTAAAGCATCTAAGTTAAGTTACCCGACACTGTGTAGGATACCGTATGTCAGGGAGCCTGCCGACAAGTAGCCTATCAAGCTTGTTTGTCTGATGATCATATGAATAAACAATTGTAAAGCAACTGGGCTTCTTATTTGGTAGGTCGAAAAATAATATCTTCCCAGTAGGGAGGTTGCCAACATAAGCTGTTCCCCTTGCCAAAACTTCTGAAGGCAAGGGAATGTCATGCCTGCTCCAGGATTTACCTTCATTAATGTACGAATGACAAAACACCTAAGAGTTTCAAAATCAGTGGGAATCAACAGACCTATACGTCTCATGAATTGTACAAGCTCCCATCTGTATCCCTTTATCCTGAATAATGCATCGTCTGGCAGTTCTATCAATTGGAATTTCTCTATGTTGAGATCAAAAGAAATCAGCCTTCTACAATCATCCTCACAATCAACTACCCAATACAGGATCCCACCAACCAAAGGCTCTCACTTGAAAAGATTTTTCTATCGAATTTTATCAGACGTACAAGTGTTGAGTAAAAGAACTGAAATTCTACGGGTGCTTCTGTGTCAGGGTTTTCTAGTTGATCAGATCTGGCATCAATGTAGACTGGGATGAGTATTAGGATGCCACCATGATATGATTGAGCACCAATACTTTGAAAGGCACTTGCACTTGTGCAGATTCTTGACCCTTTGAAGCCTTACAAGTATTTCAAAAACCAAGTCATCTGATAACTGCTTCTGTTATGAGATTATTGAGCCATTTACAGCAATGCCTTCTGCTGTTTGATTAGATTCTGACGATTCCTCTCATCCATTTTTTGATCATCAAGTGTCTGAATCCATGATCTTCTCCTTGGAATATGGTCTGCTTCTTCCAGGTGAGCTCAATCAGGGATTATTCCCCAAATCGTGGAAAATACTAAACTTGGATGTAGGAAGATATCCTACAGGAAAGATAAACAATCCCACAAAATAATACATCAGTAGCCTTGGACTAATACATGTATGTAGATTGCTAAGATTTCTATAGCATGGTTTCCAAACCAACAAAGGAATCAATTATACAATCGGACTCCAGCTTCTACAATTTGGCAACTATCAAATAAAAGAAACTTGATTTAATTCCTAGGTTTCCAAGATAGTAAATCAAGTTCCCCCACAAATCCTATCGTTCTCTTCATAAGAGTTGGAATCCTTATTCCTTTATTATTTCATCTACATTTTCCTGTTTTCTTATTATATCCCATCTGGTTTAGATCCTAGAATAAATGTATAAAGCTACAGCAAAGAATGTAAACAAAAAAAAAATCCAATTTCTAATATGATATGATATGATGTCTGCGATTATTATTTCGCAGCATAAGAAACTTGATTTAAGTTCAACAGCGTCCACTACTTCCTAATGACCCTCACTGAGCAAAAAATCTAATGGGGCAAGATTTTCCTCTAGAAAAGTTACCCCAACACCAAAATTTGTAGCATGACGTATCTGAGGTGGGCTGCCAACCAACAGCCTCTCAAACCTATTTTTCTGATGATCATATGAATAAATTGGCACGCAAGCTGACTTCGACTTCTTCTGATCTAGTAACTTAAGGTTGGAAAACAATATCTGGCCGGTGGAAGATTGCCAACAAATACGGCAGTTCTCTCTTCTGAATCTGATCCAAGTGGCCAGGGGATATATTGCTTGATCCAACATTTGGCTTCATTACCATCATGATCTAGCAAGTGAACCCCAAAACAGACATAATCAGAATTCAACAGGCCTAGGTGTCCTTGAACTGCACAAATTGCCATTCCTTTGGATGGACTAAAAATTTGTAATCCGGCGGGGGTTGAATCAGATCAAACCTGTCTTTCTTGAAGTCAAAAGAAACCAGTCTTGGCTGATTATCAAGGCAATTAACAATCCAATACATTACTCCTTTAACTAAAAGGTACCCTGTTGAAAAAATTCCATCAACCACAATTCCTGCCACTGGCTGCAGTACTTCTCTCCGTGAACAAGAACCACAACAAGAGTGAGAATTTCAGCTTCAAGCTCATCAAAATCGGTGCCCTGTCTTTCAACTTTGCGTAGCTTCAGCAATTTATACACCCCACTATTAGAAGCATCATATCCCAAAAAGAGTTTTGTACTA